CGCTCGGGCTTAAAGGCGCAGCACTTTCGCCGCCCCTCCCCGCGGGGTACGCGGGCGCGCTCGCTGCCCGTGAGCCCGGGGCCGCCGAGACCCTCCCCCGCCTCCGCACCGTCGCCCTCTGGCCTAGCCTGGAACTGGCTACGACCCACCTAGGAGGCCCGGCCAGACGCCCTTTCGGGTCCCCGCTACCCGCATTCCCAGCTCTTCTGTGCCCGACGGGAAGAGCTGCCCTTGGTGGTGGGGGGGGGAGTTCTACGACTGGCGTCCCCACCCTACATTCACAGAGGCAGAGTTCCCAAGAGATGGGGCAGGGGGTGGGGCGGTCAGGTTGATCCAACCTCCCCTCCTTCCGCTCGCCATCCCCATTCATCCATTCTTTCATCAAGTTCATTCAACAAATGGAAATTGAACGCCTACTACGTGCCAGGCACTGTACTAGGTGGTCACAGTTTCAGGCGACCGCACCATCGCCCTGACGGTCACAGGCTTTGAGACCTGAGGGGAAGTGTCTCACTCCAGAAGGCCTGATGGGAAATCAGCACCTAGACGACTGGCGGGTTAGGACGGCTCAGGGCCGCGCCACCTTCCATGGGTAGGGGTGGAGAGAGCCTGGAAAGGACTAGCCCTAGGAAAGGAGCACGCGCCCTTTAAGAAAGCTTCACAGGCAGGGTGGTGACGGGCGCCTAGTGAAGCGCCACGTGACTTTTCCACCAGGGTGGGTGGGAGGAGACTGTTACTTTATAATCAGCTTTCCTTCGCCTGCCTCCCTCTCGATATACCAATCAGCTCCCGCAGGAGGCGGGCACGAGCCGCTAAGATAGCCAATTGCGACCCAAGAGACCGCTGGGGGAGGGAGGCGGGGCCCGCCGCAGGCTCCGCCTAGCGCTGGAAGTGGGCGGGGCCTACGCGAGCGCGGTGTGTCTACTTGCAGGCGGGCTCAGCAGAGGAGGTGAATGGATCCTCAGGTAGCGCTAGAACAAAGCGGCTGGGCTAGAACGGCGCGCGTGCGCAGATCCTGCCGAGCGTTCCTTACTGATCCACGGTGGTCCTCCATGGCAGGGTGCTCGCGACTGGACTCTGCCGGTCGTCTCATTCATTCTATGGCTGGCGGGATGCTTCCGCCTCCTTGGGGCTTAACCCCTCACTCTGTCCGAGGCTGGTCAGCTCTGAGTCGTCTTGCCCCCCACCCCCGGCCTTTGTGGGGCGGTGGTGCTCGGGATTAACAGGGGTAAAGGCCTGTGGTGCTTGAGAGGGCCTCTGGAACCCCGAGGATTTGAGCTTTCCTCTGACCTCTGACCAGAAGGCACGAAAGGGGGCGGCCGGGAGCAGTCCCCGCCTACCCCCCTCGCGTCGCCCTACCTCCCCTCCAGTGAGGTATAGTCTATCCGAAAGGTTTCATCTCAGACCACAGGGCTGTGTCCCAGAAGCACAGCAGGCTCTCCCATAGTCACATTCTCAGAAAGACCACAGCGGTGCAGCCAGAGATGGTCTTATCAGCGGTGATGGCATGCCCAGAGAGTTGAAAGGAAAATCAGCCTTCCTCCCAGGGTTATCTGCGGCTCGCTGGGCAGGTCCTGAGAGACCAGGATCCAGATTATGTCCTGCTTCTTGCAGGTGTTGTGGGACCTGAGTATGGTTCTTCCCTGTCGGATCAGTTACCCCAATGTAGAAGAGTCTGGACAATGCCCAGCTAATCTGAATCCATCTGGCTAGGAGGTCATGCTCTGAGGCTAGTCCTCTTGGCTGGCAGGCTGAGTGCAGGTTGTCAGGGATGGAGGTAGCACTCAAAAAAAGAAGCTTGAGCAAACCCCCAGAGGAGGGAGGGCTGCTGAGCAGTGGACCATTTGCTCAGCAGACCTTGTTGAGGGCCTCCTGAGCACCAGGCATTGCCTGGAGCTGGAGTGACAACAGTGATCCCTCCATCTTCCACTTGACAGTGGAGTGGCCCAGTTTCCTCTCCCCTCTGGTTGTCAGTGCTGGGCTGGGTGCTCCCCCAGACCCATGACCGGATGAACAGAGACCTGTCTTTCTGACAGACAAAAGTATGCTCTACTAACATGGTAGCTTAAGATGTCAAATGCACAGTATGTCAGGGTGATACCCCTGAGAGACCAGCTCATGATCCTCAAGTGAGGCTGGCCACATGTCCCACTGTGCTGAGACACACTCACTTCTAAGTACCTGGTGAGGAAAGGCAGTTGCTTTCACTCGTGAGGGCACAACTGAAATGGGAACCTCCTCTGTGCCCCACATTCCCCATTGCCCATGCATGAGGGAGAACCACCTAGAGAGAAGCCACCCTAGAGAAAGGAAAGGGGCCCTGCCATCCCTCACACTAACTAGTAATGACTTATTTATCTCTTTTTCCCTCTGGATTTCTCTGGGGGCATACATCCTGGAGGAGAGATCTGTGAGGATTTGGAATTGGAAAAGCTCACAGGAAGGAATAGAGGGCATCCTCCAGCAGGGATATTAAGAGAGGCAGGGTTTGAATGAGCATGGGAGAAGGGGGAACATGTAGGGAGGGGGTGACAGTGGAAGTGAAGGGATGGCAGGAGAATTGGCCTGGCCAAGTGAGGTGCCAGTGGGGCCCTGGACCCCCACCGCACAGATTGGAGGAAAGGCCCAAAGCCTTGGAATGCATAAAATGGATTACAGCGGCTACAGAATGCATAAAATGGATTACAGCGAGGCTGCACTGGGATGGGCTGGGCGAGGGGAGGCTGAGGAATCCTTGCTTCCAGACTTACAAGGCCCAGAGCAGGGCAGGAACTTGCCTATGGTCAAATAGTGAGAGACCAGAGCTGCCCCTGCCCAGAGGCTCCCTCAAGGATGCTGAGAGAGGGTCTTCTTGGCAGGAACCTGGTGCCATGGGTGAGGCCTAGGAATCAAAGCATTCTTCTTCAGAAATGTGGTCTTTCTCGCCCTTCTGGGTTCAGGCCCTCCTTCACCTGCAGCCTCCAGGAGAAGTGCCCAGCTCACTAGGGTCTCTCCAAGGGGCAGGGTGGAGGCATAGGTTCCTGGGGATGAGCTAATCTAGGAGAGTCAAGTGCAGATGGACATGTTTGAGCTCTCTGAGGGCTATCCCTTGCTCCCACATTGCCTCCAGGCCTTTGCACAAGTACCCTCTCGGCCTGAATGGTTTTCAGCCTCAGCCTTTGCCTGCCTTCTGATCCCAGCTCAGTCATCACCCTCAAGGAGGCTGACTCTGATCACCCAGCCAGATGAGCTCCCAGGACCCCTGTTCTCTCGTCTGCTCTGTACTCTGTCACTGTCACTATCCAACATCCTCCACCAGACTTTCTTACTTTGGATGACCAGTGGCATGTCTGCCCTCCCTCAGCCTGATCCCTCTCTGCCAGCCCCATCTCATCCCTTTTCAGCCAAATGCCAGACCCCATCCCACAAAGCATGTCTGGATCTGCCTCCTCTGACTGCATACATCCAACCCCAGACCCACAGAGAAGGGGCCTTCCTGGCAGGGCAAGTCCTGGCTATGGGGTGGCATGTTTCATGGCTTTTTGCTGTTCCTCTGAGAGGAGCTGAGGGTTCCTTAGAGCAGTTTTGAACTAGTTTAAACACCCCCACAAATGGCCATGTGGCCCAGGAGCTGTTTCATAAAAAATAGTTTAACCATCTTAGGAACAGACTTTCCTTTTCCCACTGGGGCCATGGATTTCTTAGAGATAGGCCACTGTGTTTCTAATGGTATATGCTGGAATGGAGGGAGGATCAGTCCTTTGACCATAATATGCTTTTGGCAGGGGCAGGTCACTCCAGTCCGTGGTGCCTGTTGATGACTGAGCCAGCTTCTGCCCAGGGCAGCCCCACCAGGCTGGGGAGGCACACCATCAGAGGCCTGCTGCGACCTAGATTCACTCTGCATGTCCTTGAACTTCAGGACAGCTTCTTCCTCAACCCTAGATGGGGTGCCCACCTGGGCTGGTATCCAAACAATCACATCTAAGCCAGGCCAGGAGTGGAGTGAAAGGGCTGGCAATGTTCCTGCCCCGGACAGAACTCCTGGCTGTACACACATACATGTAAGGATACACACAACACAGGCACAAACATACATAGACCTGTACATATATTCACATTCGAGGGGGGACCCCCCCAAAACCCAGAATTTATTTATAAAAATTGTGTATGTATTCTTACATGTTTAAATTTCAGTACTCACCGTTTGATGCAATACACCTATCCACACACTTTTTTCACTGCTCAAAACAGTTTTTGAACCTGTCAATTTAGTGCTTCTACCATTTTTAGTTTCACCTCATCCACGTCGGCAAAATATTCCCCTTTGAGTATGTTTTTATCCAGGTTAGCAAAGAAAAGTTCTCGGGGTGGGATCTGGCGAATAGAGAGGGTGGAGCACGGGGTCATGCCAATTTTGTTCAAAAACCGCTGAACACTCAGTGCAGTGTGGGCAGGTGCATTGTCATAGTTGAAGAACAAGTCACCTGTTTGCCACAAAAAAATTAACTGAAGCCAAACACAGCCTCTTACAACAACACTAGCTGGCACACTGATGCCAGTGGGTTCCTGAAGCACTTACCTAGAGGGGAAAGCCTGTATTACAAGAGGCCCACCTCCAGAAGATAATTCCGGGGTTTTTTTGGTCCCCCTTATATGCCCATGGGCACATAAGTGCATGCACCAAGATACACAGATATAGACCTATGCATGTGTGAAAAAATATACAATACACATGTGTATACATACTCAGTTGTATGCACATACACACACAGACCCATGATTGGGCATGTGCCCCTCTGCTAGCACTCACCCCCCCCCACAAAGCCCACAAATAGGTCCCCCAAAGGAGTTGTTACCAGGATCCACAAGTGTC